GCCCTGCCAAACTCACAAACCCAAAGCCCCACATGGCCCATTAAAGCAGGGCTGTGCCCCTTCCCCTCCATGGGGCTGGGCCACACCCCCTTCCTTCATATCAGGATTTGGGCTGGTTACTCCAGCCACACTCCTGGCTCTGGGGGGTGGGGGAGGGTGGAGCCAAGGCCTGGTTCTGGCTTTCCTTGCCTCTCCTAAAATGGGCCAGAGACTGGATGGGGTGTAGCTGGGGGACTTCAGCCATGCTCCTGGATCTTGGGGGTGGAGCAAGGCCCCAGTGCAGGCTTCTCCACACCTCCTGCCTCCCCACAGGCCAGAGACTGAGAAGGGCTTGGCTGGGGGACTCCAGCCAGCTCCTGGCTCCCAGTTTTTGGGGGGCAGAGCCAAGTCCTAGTGATCCTGCTCCTGGCTCTGGGCTCCTGGGATGGAACCAAGCCCCATTTCCCCCCCACCCTCCACCCCCTGCACTAGGCTGCACGCAGCTGGGGGTCCAGTGCTGGGCCAGAGGAGTTGGTTTTTCCCCACCACCACTTTCTCAGCCAGCCAGAGAAATGCTAGTACTCTGGCTAGAAGCAGAGAGGTGGGGAAGACCCTATTCTGCTGGGGCAGGCAGCACAGCCCAGGGCTGCAAAGCATCCTGGGATGCTGGAGGACTGTGAGTTAACTTGAACAAGGAAGGGACCCAGGACAGAAGTTCCATTAACTGGTTTGACTTGAATCAGTTAAGTCTGATACTAAATCCACCCAGGGTTATCTTAAACGAGTTTTGGCCATTTTGGGTGCCGACAGAAGTGTAGCTCCCCATGTAACTGAGAATGCTTTGCAGGAAACATTCTGAATTACAGTGATCTCCTAGAACAAACAGAAGTTCATTGTTGGCTCCAGGAGGCAGGGGAATCTTGCTGCCAGCCAGCAGCCAGTTCCCCCTAGCAATGCCCCCCCCCCACTCCTCCCAGCCTGTCCCTGTTTCATAATGGAAGTGGGGGAAAGAGAGCTGAGGCAGCTCCTTCTACAGGTTTCCCAGCTAGTGCTGGAGGGTGGGGTGGGTGTAAGGGAGTCTCCTCACCTGGGGGGGGGGTCCAATACACCCACCCCATCTGCCAGCAGGGGCTGAAAAACTCCTAGACCAAACTTTCTCCATTCCCTTCACTTCCCCCACCCTCCGATTCCAAAAACAGATTGAGGGTGGGAGAAGAGCAGACAGAAGTTACAGAAGACACTCTGTTATGCAATGTCTTCATCTGATCCTGCATGCAATGAGGGGTCAGATTTTTACTTGATCAGTCATTCTTGAAGCTGTTTACAGCCATGCACTTATGCTTGGTCACAGCTATAAACTGCTTTCCATGGCCAGATTGGGTGAAAATTGTCACTTCTCTCTGTGCCCTTTGGAAGTGGTTTATGTTCACTGAACTTCTGTTCTGTTACAGGTTTAAACCTGTTTCTGACCACTTAAACTGGTTTATGTCTAACTTCTGTCCCTAGACTTAAGCACAAAAAGGTGAAATAGGAATTTTCTCCAAAGTGTGACTCTAATTAAACTACTGTAAACCTGAAGGCAGGGCAGGATGGCACCTTACAGACTAACTGCTTCAGAGATTCATAAGCTGTTGTAGGCAAAAGAAGGTGGTCACTACAAAAGCTTATGCCTCTGAAACAGTTAGTCTGTAAGGTGCCACCCTGCCCAGCCTTCTGCCTGATTTCAGATGAACACTGTAAATACTCTACTGTTAAACTGCATGAGAATTATTTTTGCCTTGGTTCTTTTATGTCTCCTCTAGTAAGTGATGTCTTGGATCTGTTTGAGAAGCACCTCCCTCAGAGCAGGTGGAAATCTTTTGACTTTTACTAGTGTTACTTCTACCTATGTGCTATGGGCTGTGTGCAAAAGTTCAAGTGTACTAAAAAATGTGGAGGGAGGGGGTGTGGCCTGGCCCTGATCTAGAGGAGAGGGAGGGGGGCATGACCTAGCTCCGTGCAGTAGGAAGGGGCCACAGCCTGACTCCAACAGGCTATGCAGGGCTTGTGGTTTGTGAGTTTTGTGGGGCAGGGAGTGTGGCTGTATTAATGGCCACTGCTCCCCCGCCACCAAATTTCCCAACCCGAGGGGAGACTTGTGGTCTGGAAGCCAAGGTTCCATCAGCTGTGTTTCAAAAATATTTGGTAGCTTCTTTTTAAACAGACTTAAAAAATTTCCCTCTTTACCCTAAAAACATTCCTTAAGCACAACATACAGGTGCTTTAGAGTGTCTCATTTATGAAGCCTTTAGCAATAAAATGGTAAATAGATTTAGAAATTTGTTTACACCAGTAAAACTATTAATTTCAGCCTTAAAATATTTTATTGCAAATTTAAATTGCATCGTACTGATGCAAGGCACTTGAATGATTTAAATTGTTGGTGTAACCCAACCATCTGTAGAACATTAAATGTGTTTTATGTATGTTCACTCCCTATAGCAGTTTTCTCTAAATGTAAAGGAGTTTGCTAAATAGCAGCCAAGATGAAACTAGGGCCAGACAGCTGTGTGTGGAATATAAAATATTTCAGGTTGAACTTTTTACTCTTTATTGTTAAATTTCTTAGATATTTATTTTCATCTCATTTCAAATTGTGAGTATCACAATCAGTAATTGTGATACTAATTAGTGTACCTCAGAAGCAAAAGACAAAGCTCCATTTAAAGGCCTGGGTCAAAGTCTATCATGAGGTCCAAATTGTCTTACATCCAAAATGTGTGTGCTGTACACTGGAAGTGTTTGGATGTGAAAGGATAGAGACAAAAGCAGGGGCATGTGTATTATGTGTGTGCTGGTTTTGTTGGTTTTGTGTAGCAGTGTGAATGTCGTTTTAACTGTAAAAACAAAACTGTATGGTTATGCTGAAGGGACTAACCCACTGAGTATGGCTCTAGTCTTTAGATTTTTAAAATGGTTTAATAACTACAGGAATTATACACCTACTATATAAATGTTTCATGTGTAGTGAGAAACTGTATGCAAAACAGTTCATCAGTCAAATGACCCAGTAACTTAATCTCTGTCAGTGCAATGTATGAAAAGCCTTGCAAGACAACTCCTTACTCGTGTATTCTGAATGCAGCAGAAAAGATATAATACTGTTTGAGCACAGGCTGATGGGTGTGAGATTAATGAGAGAGAGAATGCAAGCTGCTTTATAGGGAGTCTGCAAAATATGCTGGTCATGGACCTTTGCCCAGGGGTGGG